CAACTGCCGCCTCGCCTCGGGGCCGGGGCTGGGCCAGGTGCCAGGGCGTCCTGGGAACGGCGTCCCCCGCGCGGCGCTCCCGCAGCCCACTCCGCTCGGCCGACTCGCTCACTCACCACACGCATGCACACTCCTGGCTGGAGGCGATGCTGCGCTCCGGCGGGCGGGCGGGCGCGCAGGGACGGGCACGCACTCCCGCGGCCGGGTCGCGCGCCCGCCGCCACGCCCGTGCACACGCGGGGCACACGCGCGCGCATCGCACACACCGCACGCACGGTGCCCCCCTCCTCCCCGCACACGCGGCCTGAGCACACGTACGCACACACCCGGTATGCACAGCCCAGCGCCAGGTGCCAACCCCCGCGCCACAGGTGGGCCCAGGGTGGGCCCCTCACCTCCCTGCCTCTGTAGCCACTCCAGTTTCTCACTGGGTGCTGTGAGGGAGGGGAACGGGGACCCTCCCCTCAGTCCGGGCTCCGGGTAAGGTCAGCTCCACGCCCTTCAAGCATGAATCTTCTGCGATTGCTCTTTCTCAACCACTCCCATGTGGCTGAAAGTGGCGATGTGCTTGGGGACCGCTGTCATGTCCAGGGCATTTCTCCCTTCAAGTGAGCTCTTCTTTGAGCCTTCAAGACTGGAGGACCCTGAGCCGCTGAGCCCCCTCCCCGCTTCTGTCCTCTTTGCTGATCCCGGCATGCTCAGCAGAGGCTTTCCCAGGCCTGCCCTTACCATTCCCAGCTTCACCAGCACCTCCTCCTCCTTTCCCACAGCTCCATGGGTATGTGTGTTTGGCGGGGAGGCGATGGCACAGAAGCTGGTGCCTCGCTCCCTCTTTAATCATTGCCTCCTTGCACACCGTTGAGTGGTGCTTTGCAGTTTACCAGGCACTTTCCTGCGAAGCCTGAGCAAGCCTCAAGGCGGCTCTGGGAGAAGAGTCTTAAAGGGAAAACCCGTGGACATGGGGGCCAGTGCAGGAAGGAAACTCCGGGAGGACTTGCTGGTGGAGGTGGCCTTGGGGTTGGCTGTGTCTCAGGATGCATGGACTGAGCCTCAGGCAGAGGCCTCAGCAGCTGGGCAGGAGGTGGGGAAGGCTGAGGCAGGGTCTGGCAGGGGGTGGGCTGAGGCCTGTGAGGTCCCATCCCCATCAGCTGAGCTGGCTTCTGGGGAGGGTGACTCCCACTGTCATGTGATGCCTCCGGCCTCAGCACCCTCCTGCCCTTCACTACCCAGCTTCCATCTGGTTTGCTAATGCCTTAGGTGGTGGGAGATCAACCTGCTGGAATCTCCCAGCCCTAGAAGTGTCTGCAAGGTTAGGATCAAACAGAATTTGGAGTCTCTGGTGCAAGACCTAGGGGTGTGTGTGTGTGTGAAAGAGAGAGAGAGAGAGAGAGAGAGAGAGAGAGAGAGAGAGAGAGAGGGAGATTGATTGGTCGGTTCAGCAGGAGTGGTAGAGAAGTGCTTGCCTTGGGCCTCACCCCCCATTGAAATGGACAGCTCTTTTCATTTCGGGCTTATTTAGTTGTTTATCACCTGTTTTTCCTCCCTGGAGTATAAACTCCACTAGAGAGCATTTGTCTTAGTAACACTGTCTCCCCTGCTTACTGGCCTGTGACTGGCTTATGGCGGACAATCTGTAAATATGTGTGGAAAAGACCAGGAATCGGGAGGGGGAGAGGGACCAGATCTGTGCTTGCTGAGTGCCTTATAAGCACCGTCTCACTGAGTCCTTAACCCCGGTCAGCCCAGCACGGCCACTGCCCTGCACCAGGCTTCCTCATCCGAGTCACCACTCCCTGCCCCCCTCCCATCTTGAGAGACAGGCGCGCCTTTCTTTTCCATGTCTTGGGACTTGGGCTGCCGAGATTGGACAGGACAGCGGGGAAGAAACAGCAGGAAAATCAGATTGCAAAGGCTCTGTGTATCGTGACCTGGGCCTCAGTCCCTGCCACCTAAAAACTCGAGGAGATTGGATTAGCTCCGAGTTCCTCAAGAACGGAGTTCCCAGACCTCTTGCAAATGCAGAGTCCTGGGCCCCACCCTGTGCTGGGACAGAGGTGGGGTGGTGGGCAGAAAATGCTGTGGGGGGGGTACGGGGGGGGGGGCCTGCTGGGATTCGATAGCTGCCTTGGCTCCTCTCTTTCTGCTGCTGCAGGAGCGGTGGGGAGCCCAGTGGGAGGCTGCACGCACATTAAGGAGGGGTGGGGCCGGGGGAGGGTCCCGGGAGCCATAGGGGAGGGAAATGGTAGGTGGGAAGGCTGGTTCTAATGGCTTCTGTGGTCTGCCCAGAGGAGGCTTCTTCAAAGGGCTTGGCTTTGGCATTGACTCTAAATTAGGCCTGAGACTCGGGCAGGCAGGCAGGCAGGCAGGCGCTCGGAGGCCTGCTCCCTGCTCGGCTCTCCCTCTGCCAGCCACAGACAACGCCCCTGGATGCGTGGGCCCGGCCTGTGCGTCTCTCTCAGCTGAAGGGCAGGAGGGCTGGGGAGAGTGTGTGTGCTGGGGCCCAGGTGGAGGGTGGGGTCCAAGCCCCTTTGATCTGCCAGCCTGGTTGGGAGCAGGTAATTCGTCTAGCCTCACGCTAGCTGCTGCCCTTCCTACCTTCTGCAGCTGGCGTTGGGGGTGGGGTGGGGTGGGGAGCAGGCTGTTTGCCTTGGCTCCGTGGCTGGCTGTGCCCCAGCTGCCTTCTTGCCACGCCCTCACCCTGCCAGGAGCCCCCGGCCTGAGATCTGGGGCAGCTTCCTCAGGGTGCCTGGCCTCCTTTCCCGGCTCCGAGGCGAGCTGCCCACCTAAGGAGGCTTCTAGAACCAATCGCTACCCTGTGCTCACCCTCCCACATCAAGAGGAACCTCTGGCCTCAGCAGGTGCCCCGAGCTGACCACAGACGGAATGTTGTCACCTTTCACCTACCTCCCGCCCTGGAAGGAACCCACCAGCCCACACTGCCATTGTGGGGCTAGGGTGTCATTTCCTGTGGCCCGGCTCAGGGGATAGTGCAAAGCCGCACGCTCTCCACCTACCCATTGTCATCCTCAAAAATGCCCTGTACTGCTGGCCCCGGGCGGGCGCGCTGCTCGCTGCTGCCCTCAGAGGCGCCCACCCCCATTATTTGCTGGCTGCTCTGCTGGGTGCAACTAGGCCGCCCAGTAACCCTAGCGAAGTATTCTTAGCCCCATTTACAAGATTAGAAACCTGAGCGTTTAGGTTGTTAAAAGACTTATTCCAAGAATCCAGGCTCCCTTCGCTCTTTCGTCTGCTACTGTTCCTCCGCCTCTGCACTGTTGGCGTTCTGGGCCAGACAGCTCCTCACTGTGGGAGGCTGTCCTGTGCATAGTAGGATGTTTAGCAGCATCCCGGGCCTCCACCTTCTAGAGGCCAGTAGTTGTGACAACCACAGATGCCTGCGGACACGCCAGTGTCCCTGGGGGCCCCTTGCCCTGAGGTGAGAGGCTCTGCCCCCTGACCCCCGCAGGGGAAGAGGGGCGTGAACCGAAAGTAGTGCTGAGGAGCTCCATGGGGGCCGGAAGAGGGAGGGCCCAGCTCTGTTACCTACTGGTCTTGTTGACCTGTAGCCATTTACTAACTTTTCCTAACGCTCAGCTTCCTCATCTGGAAGAATGGATAAAAATAGCACCCGCCTCCTGGGACTGGCCGTGCACCTCGTAGCCCGGTACCTGACTCACCGTCAGCACTTAGTAAAAGTGAGCTGTGGTCGGACTGTGGGGGCTCGTATTGAGTTCTGGGCACCCACTGGCCGAATTAGTGGAAGCACGAGCAGAACGACTGCTGCTTAGAATGAAGTGGACTCTACAGGAGGCAGTTTGCACTGGGGGGAGGGGAGACCATCCCAGGTGGTCCTCCTGGTGGAGGAGGTGGGAGAATCATACAGGAGAGAGTCCCAGGGAGAAGGGGAGAGTCCTTCATGCATTTTACCCGAATTTTTTGAGCACCTACTGTGTGCTTCTCCCCAGCCTCTATCCTGGGCTCTTCCCCATGCAGCCTGGGAGGGGTTCTGGGTTTGTTTCCATAAGATGTCATCTCCTGTGCATCGTAGGGCGGGTCCAGGGCATCTGCGGGGGCCCTGACGGGGGGGTTGCCTCCTCTGCCACGGCTGGCGGCTGCAGCCAGCTCGCCAGTGGGCAGGGAGGTCTCGGCATGAGCGTTACGTGCCATTTGGTACTGGGCCTTCAAGCCCCTCTTCTGGGGCTGAGTCATTGCTCCACTGGCCCTTGGCTTTGCTCTGCTGTCTCTGCTGCTACCCCTGGGCACAGTTAGAATCAGATTCCATGTCTTCAACCCCCTCCATTCACCGGGCAGCCGGTGAGATCCGGGTACTGAGCGGGGCAGGGACCAGCCTGGGGTCCCTGGTGGTTGGTAGCAGTAGAGGGTGGACTCCAGCTCCCGGACCACCAGTTCTGGGGGGTGATAGAACCTTCCGGAAGGTGGCCTGCCTTGGTCTTAACTGGAGACCCGCCGCCCGCCTGCTCTTCTCGGGTTGGATCCTGTGCCCACAGTTGGAGACCCCAAAGGTGTGCTCTCTGCCCGGGGTTGGAGGGGGCAGCGCCCGGGGGACGTGGGGGAGGAACCGAGGGGCCTCGGAGCCACCTTGTCCTCCTCTCACACACGCAGCCCTGGCCCCCTGGCTGCACAGTCACGCACCCTGAGAAAGACCCCAATTTCCAGCCAGACTTACTGCTCGCCCCCACCCCGCCTCCCGGGAACCTCCTGACAGCCCTACACACCAGCCAGAGGAAAAGCTCCACATTCAAATGAAGACACTGAGCTCAGGGGTTTCAAGGAAGTCGAGTTGGGTGTCCGCAGCTGGACATGGGGGAGCCCCCGGAGGACCGACCCCAGGAGGACTGTCTAGAGCTGAGCTTTGGGCAGAGGCTGGAAACGATCGATCACCGGAGCTGTTGGGGAGAACCTCCAAGTCCGCTGATAGCTGGCTCAGGACCCACACAAACGGTGTTGCGTCTTTGAGCCTCTGTTTTCTCATCTGTAAAATGGGGATAATGAGATCTGCCAAGTCAGCTGACACCCTCCCAGGCTCCTTCCGCGAGGCCGTGCCGCCCTGTGTCTGCGTGTGCACCTGCCCGTGTGCACACGGGTGTGAGTTCGGATGTGCAGCAGCATCGCGAGCATTTTCTGTGCCCGGAGGCGGTGGGTGCCAGGGTTGTGCTTCTCCGCCTCTCAGCTGCCCTCACCTCTTTCTCAAGACCTCGGCATCAGCCCCTTGGGGCCCTGGGCTGAGGGCCGTGGGCTCCTCTCATGTCATTGTGGGACCTGCGGTTTCCCTGAGGAAGCCCGGCTCCGAGTGGGGCCTGTTAAAGTGCTTATTCAGTTTCAAGTGTTTTGGGAAGAGGCCAGAGGGGCTCTAAAAATAGGGTTTGGTTGGGCACAGGGCACGGGTAAGCGTTCAGGTTTCCCGGCCGCCTCGGAGGATTCCCTGCTCTCCTCTTTGCGTGAGAGACTAAATAAATACCTTAGTACTGGTGGCCTCCTGAGACCGTCTGACTCTTCAAGCATTTCTTAAACACCTTGTGTGCCCAGGAGGCTGGGATACAGGCTCTGCCGTCAGGAAGACGGGGGTTGGAAGGCAGGTTCTGCTGATAACTGGCTCAGGACTCAGACAAACGGTGTTGCGTGTTTGAGCCTCTGTTTTCTCATCTGTAAAATGGGGATAATGAGATCTTCCAAGACAAATGCTGGCTGGCGTTAACTGTCAGGCGTGGAGGAGAAGCAAAAAGATTGTGGAGCCTTCCAGAACCCATAGTGTGCTGGAGGAGGATGGGCCCAATCCAACCGAGCTCAGAGCAAGCCGGGGCTCCTATTTGGGGGGGTGAGGCATCTGAGCTGGGTCTTCCAGGCTTTGGCAGGTTCTGGCCCCCAGGACTTCGTGCTCCTGGTTGTCAGGCCTGGAATCTGCCTCCTGCCCACCCCAGCCTGGCTGTCCATCTGTCCGTGGCCGAGGGGCCCTGTGGGAACTTCCCATGGGAGGTTGTGTCTGTGCTGGGGGCAAGAGGGCCATGGCTGGAGAGCCCTCACGCCCAGCTCACTCGATCCCATGTGTCTGCCCGGCAGGGGGACCCCATTCCTGAGGAGCTCTACGAGATGCTGAGCGACCACTCGATCCGCTCCTTCGACGACCTCCAGCGGCTGCTGCACGGAGACTCCGTAGGTAAATGGAATCCTCCTCCGCCACTCGGGCCTCCCCTGCATCCCTGGGAGCGGGGAGGGGCAGGGCCAGGGCCGTCCCTGCCTTGACATCTGGGGAACAGAGGCCTGTGGCGGCCGGGGAGGGCTGGGCCACACCTGTCTGGGGCAGGGCTGAGTAGGTAGACGGGTTGGTACCTGGGACGTGGGGCGTGGAAGGAGAAGCACCCGCATGTGTCTCTGGCTGGGTGCGGAGGGTGGGGTGCCTGGAGGGGGCGGGCGGGGAGAAGGTGCCTAGGGCATCTGCCCAATGAGTATCCAGGTGTGAACTCAGCCAGGGCGGGCGGTGGTGGAAGAGCCACCACCGTCTCCCTGTCCCTCTGGCCGGGGGCCAGCTCTGCAAGGTCTCCCGGGGACACCTGGCCCAGACCAGCGGGCTGCCCTGCCCCTGCCCAAGAGCACACTCAGCGAATGGGCACGTGCTCGGTGGCACACACGTGGCGGCTGGCGGCCTGGGTGGGGAATGTATTTATAAACGCTGTCTTCAGGGCGAATTCCATTCTATTCTAACCTCTGGCCTGTTCCCTGGAGCCCTGGTCATCACCCGCCCTGCACCCCCAGCTCCCCTTCCCTCTGGGGTTTTGTCTCTTTGTCACTTTGTAATCCTTGCCCAGACTGCTATCTACGGGGGACAGCATTTCCTGCCTTTGTTTCCTCTCCCCGTTGGGCCCCTGGCTCCCTCTCAAAAGCATTCCCGGGCCCTTTCAAACCCTCCTGCGCTGGGGGCTGGTGAGGCCGGCGGGAGGGGGCCCCAGCTGGGCCCACCTATTGTTCACCAGGCCCCCCCCACCCGACGTCTCCCACACCCCCACCCCATGCCCGGCTGGCCAGCCCTGGCCAGCACAATGGGGCAACTTCCAAATTTAGCCTTTCTGCTATTTCTTTCCAAGGGCCTTCGCCCCCACCCTCGGCAGCCCCTCCACACCCCGGGTGGGGGTCGGCCCCGGAGACGAGGTTTTCAATAGGAGGCCTGTTTTGAGGCAACCATGTGGCTATTTTTTCCTAATCAACGCAACCTTTCCACAAAGCACATCTTTTCCCCGTCTCCTCCCCACCAGGGACATTCCAGAGATGCAGAGAGAGGGGAAGGGAGCGGGAGGCGCACAGGCTGACGTGGGACAGTAGCTGGAGGGAGGCGCACCCGTTCTAGGGCCGCCCCCTCCACACGGGACCCCCTGGGAGCCCGCAGGGCCGAGCAGGGCCAGTGGGATGGGAGACCCTGTGAGCCTCAGGCGCTGTGTGGAGGGGCGGGAGCTGGTCCCCGACACCTCAGGGTATTTGCCAGCTTTCAGCCACGAGAGAGCTAGAGGAGTTTGCCCACCGTCAGCACCAAGTCACCGTCCCCCTGCCCAGCCTCCAGCAGCGGAGAGAGGGATGGGGTGGTGTGAGCTGAGGGCTTCCCAGGCCAGAGAAGGGGGCTGCGGTGTGGTGGTGACCTTAGGAAGGAATGGACAGTGTAGGGCAGACATGGGGCAGAGGTCAGAGGGAGAAAGACAGAAACACAATGAGAGACTGGGAGGTGGAGAGAGAGCAAGATCTAGAAGGGGCTGGGTGAGGCTCCCCGATCCCAGCAGCCCCGGCACCCCACCCCTCTGCCTTCAGCCCCCACCCCCATCCCTCTCCCTCCCTCCCTCTCTCCCGCCCAACTGGGCCATTGTCAGGGGCTCCAGAGGGGCTGTGTCCTGGGCATGCGGTTCCCCCTGGGGATTCTGGGAATTTCTCCATTCAGCACTTCCTATGGGAACGCTGGGCGGAGGGGCACTGGAACGTGGCCTTCGGAGCTCTGGGTCTCTGCCCTGCCCGGGAGGCCGAGGAGGGTTCGCGCAGAGTAGCAGAAGGGAAGGGCTATTTTTAACTCCATTCACATGAGTTCTGTCCAGAAATGTGACTGAGGAGCCCAGAGTGGGGCTGAAGCCCCCCCAGAGGGTACCGTCAGGGCCCCACCCCCCCTGAGCCCCGAGTCACCTGGGGTTGGATCCTCAGAGCTAGGACTCAGGTTTACCGGGGGCCAGAGGGGAGCCCCACCCTGCGGGCGGGCCAGCCAGCAGTGACCAGAGTGCATCTGACTGTCCTGCTCTTGCAGATGAAGATGGAGCCGAGTTGGACCTGAATTTGACCCGGTCCCATTCCGGAGGCGAGCCCGAGAGCTTGTCCCGAGGGAGAAGGAGCCTCGGTAAGACCTGGGGTGAACATGGGCCCCCCCGAGAAGGTGGGAGCCAGGGAAGGAGGACCCGTTCAAGGATTTGAGGGTCAACCCCGTTCATCCCCCACTTCGGGCTGAGTTGAGCTAAGGGACAATCGCACCCTTAAATAGCTTACGTTGAGTTGGGTCATCACGTACTCCCCAGCGCACACTGCTTCCTAAATATAATGCTTTTAAGCTTATTTTTCACTACTTCAACCCTAGAATTAGATATTATTGACCCCGTTTTATGGAGTTGGAAACTGGAGCCCAGAAAGGGAAAGAAGTAGGCGTGGCCACACAGCTGACCAGCAGTAGGGCTGGGATCCCAACAGTACCTCTCGGTTGAACCCCTGCCCTCCTGGCTGCGTGTCTGCTGTGCCTGAGGCTGTGTCCTGGGACAGCAGGCCCGGAGCAAAGCCTGGAACCGCTTCCCGCTCGATTGCAGAGCCCGAAGGGCCATGTCGATCCCTAGGTCCCATGGGAGCCTTCCCAGCGAAGCAAGTGCCCATCCCAAGCCCCTCCTCCTCTCTTCCCACCTGCAGTCCCCCCGGTCCTGTAGATGGTGCCGGGGGGCCTCCATATAAGACCGGTGGCCGGGTCCCACTCCTCGCTCTGTGGGCGCGGGCCGCTCATCGGCTCTCCGAGCCTCGGGTCTCTATGTGCACAGTGCCCGGCCCAGCACTGACTCTCCGCTGGCCGTCGGCCAGGTGTCACGCATATCGTGCCGAGGTCTGCAGGTGCTGGCTAGGTGTTGTCATTCTCCCATTTCCTAGACGAGGAAACTGTGGCTGCGAAAGAAGCAATGAGGTCAGGAAAGATTACAGTGTAAAACAGCAAAGCAAAGTGATCACAAGATAACATACAAGTGAGGGCCACATTCGGACAAACGCCCAGGGTGTGAAATCACGGAGGGAACTGAGTGAGGGCTGGCGGAAGGAGTCTGACCTTCACCACACGAGTGCTCTCACGTGACCCTAACAATGGTTCTTGAGTATAGGTCACCCCGTTGGCACGTGGGGAACTGAGCCACCAGCTCACGCCCCACGGCTGATGGCGGCCAGGACTCAGAGCCTCTCCTGACGCGGGAGGAAGAGGGGCCTGGGCAGCCACGCGGCGAGAGCAGGCCCAGGGGCGCCCGCTGCGCTTTCCTGCCAGGCGGGGGCTCGGGGCCGGCCCTCCCTCCTGACAGGGGTCCCCTCTCCCTTCAGATTCCTCCACGGTCGCCGAGCCAGCCATGATTGCCGAGTGCAAGGTCCGCACGGAGGTGTTCAAGATCTCCCGGAGCCTCATCGACCGCAGCAATGCCAACTACGTGGTGTGGCCGCCCTGCGTGGAGGTGCAGCGCTGCTCCGGCTGCTGCAACAACCACAAGGTGCAGTGCCGTCCGACCCAGGTGCAGCTGCGCCATGTCCTGGTGAGCGCCCCCACCCCCACCCCTGCACTGGCCCAGCCGCTGGCCGCTGCCTGCAGGGGCTTGTGCCTCACGGACCAGGCTTCCAATGGGTCGGCTCTGTCCAGAGCGGGTGCTCTCAGGAAGCTCTCTGGACTCTTGTGCTGAGGCTGCCCCAGTGACCTCTGTGGCCGCCCAGCTGCTGTGACCCAAAGCCACAGGCAGACCCCAGGCAGGCTGGCGTAGGACGTCCAGTCGTGGTGCTGCCTCGTCCTTTGCAGGGACACAACCCCAGGTGTCTCTGGAAGAGACATTCTACAAGCACATTGACCGCTCAGAATGTGCTGGGCAGCTGCTCAGAGTCCCCCAAAGCTCCCCCCTGTCCTGGCCCTGCACAGAGAGGAAGGCTCCCCTGTGTCTGCCAGGCCCACTCACCTCCCGGGACAAGCTGTGTCTTTAATAAAGAGGGCGCTGCCCGAGGCGGGGGGCGGAGGGGGGCAGCCCTTAGCAGGAGTCTGAACCTGCCTCTTTTCTGGAAATACTGGGCCACCCTGACTCAAGGGGGCTTTTTAGGGTGGAGGCCGCCCCGGGGAGCTCCTGATCGCAGGCAGGCAGAGCAGTGTCAGGGGGGCCTCGGCCTCTCTGATTCGTGCGGGAGGGCTTCTGCAACCCCTCGGCCAGCCTCACCCGCACACCAGCCGGGGCTGGACCGAACACTCTGCTGGCCCCACCTCGCCCCCTCCCCTTCCTCGCACCCACCTTCCACCACAGGCCTGGGCCCCGCGCCCGAGATGACGTGTCACTCTCCACCACGCCGCCCACTGTCACGCTATCTCCTGTCCCCAACGCTTTAGCTCTAAAGATGGACACCTGGCAGCTGCCCTCCCCCTTCCCGCCTCCCTCCTGGATAAAGCCTCCCCCCACTTCCTTCCAGACAACCATCTCCCGCCTCTGCCACAGCCCCTGACCTTGGCTGGCGCTCCAGGAATGAGGACACCACAGGCCCGCACTCCGCCCGGAAATGCCTTTCCCCCTCTCTGGGAGCCCGAGGGGGCTCCGGCCAAGCCGAAGGCCAGGGTGGGAGGGCTTGTTTTGATGGAAAAGCTACGAGAAGGGCAGAGGCCAAGGTCCTGCTATTGTTTGGGCCGCAGTGTCTGCCCTGCGGCTCTCAGCTCTCCAGGCTTTCGAGGAAAGATCCCCGCAGGGGATGCAGGGGCCGGGAAGAGCAGGCAGGTGGCTCCCTCAGCCCCTTCCCGCTGGTCTGACGGAGGCACTGGGGTGATTCTGTCTTCCAGGTGAGGAAGATTGAGATGGTGCAGAAGAGGCTGATCTTCAATAAGGCCACCGTGACGCTGGAGGACCACCTGGCCTGCCGGTGTGTGACAGTGGTTCCTGCACGGCCCGTGAGCCGCACCACAGCGAGCTCCCAGGAGCAGCGAGGTAACTGTCGGTCCAGGGTGTGCCTCCGACTGCTCAGCCGGGCAGCCCCCTCTCCCATGGCAGCTGATTTGATGCCACAGCCCCCTCCTTGGTTGAATGGGAGCATGGAATGGGGAGGAACCAGGGCCTGGAGAAGAGAAGACTTCATGCATATCGTCTTCAGATATTTGACACCTTATCCTGGGGATGAAAAAACACATTAATTCCTGTGGCCTTGAGGGGGAAATTAGGGCCAAGGGGCAAGGCCAGCAGACAGAGATTTAACTCAAATACTAGTCAGGGGTCTGGGATGGCATCACTTTCCTTGTGATGGAGTGAGTTTCCTGTCACTGGAGGTGTGCGAACAGAGGCTGGCAGCCACGCAGCAGGGAGTGAGAGACAGGGTTGAACCAAAGTCTCATTCCCATCTTTAGATTTCACAAATCAGGGGCATCGTTAGGCTTAAAGAGTTGAAAAGGACCAAAAAATGATCTGGTTCAATGGCCTCCTCCACATTGTATAGAGGGGGTGCCAGAGGCCCAGGGAAGCTGAGGTCTTGCTCAAGGTCACACAGCTAGTCCCAGGTCTTGTAACATCTAGTTCTGGGTGCTTTAGACTCTATCCGGCTGCCTTTTCTCCCTCAAAAGTTTGCAGTAAGGTCCTGGTTGGTGTGGCTCAGTTGGTTGGGTGTCGTCCCATACACCGAAGGGTTGCCGGTTCGATTTCCAGTCAGGGCACATGCCCCAGGTGCAGGCTCGATCCTAGATCCTACCAGGGCCGTACAGGAGTCAGTGGGTCAATGTTCTGCTCTTACATCGATGTTTCTCTCTCACTCTCTCTCAAAAAAAAGGAATAAAAATAATTTTTAAAAAGTTTGCAGAAAGGATCAAATGAGAATCATTAAGATAATGCAATTAGAAGAACATAAAAAAAATCACCCAAGTTACTGTTTTGATTTTCAGTAACATTCTTTTTTTAAAGAATAGATTTTTAATATTGATTTGAGAGAGAGAAAGGGAGAGGGAGAGAGAGAGAAACATAGATGTGAGAGCAAGACATGGATCAGCTGCTTCCCGTACGCCCCCTACTGGGAATCGAGCCTGCAACCTGGGCATGTGCCCTGACCGGGAATTGAACTGGGGCCCTCTTGGTGCATGGGGTGATGCTCAACCACTGAGCCACACTGGCCGGGCGCTTTTCGGGAGCTTTCTATTGTTAGGGGACAGAACGGTGCCACCGTGATTTCTTATTAACAAGCCTCTTGAAGGCAGGGCCGTCTCAGCCTTTTCATTCTGTTCCCAGAGCCACGCTGAGGCCCGGATGCCCGGGGAAGGCTGATAACCTGACAGCTGCAAACTGATGTATTGTAGGGTATTTATAGAGTTAACGTGGAGAATGACTTTTCTACCCAGGGAAATTTCTATTCTTTATGTTTAGAATAGGTTTTTTGTGTTTTTTTTCACATGCATTTGTTACACGTGGTTTTCCAAACCATTTCCTTGGGAGGCACGTCGCACGGTTAGCATGTAGATAAGGCCTTGCCGTTTCAGGTGTAGCATGTTGGCCCCATGGGATGGTGCTCCTGGCAGCTGTCCAGAGCTGGGCCCAGGCTGGGTGGTGTGGCCGTGTGACGTGGTGGTCAGTGTCAGACCTCTGGGCTCCAACCTCTGCTCTGTCCCTTCTGAGCCGTGTGACAGCCTTGAGCTGGCTCGGGCTTTGCCAGCCCAGCGTCCTGCTGGTGGCCTGGTCTCTGGGTGGGAAACTCCAGCCCTTCAGTGGCTCTCCTGGTGCAGAGGCCCTGGGTCCCTGCACCGCAGAGCTGGGCCAGCTGCCTCGTGGGAGGCCAGGTGTTGGCCCCCCAGAGCCGATGGGCCGGGGAGAACTCGGGAGTGTCCAGGAAGAGACGGGCCTTGAGCTTGGCAGAGTTTTCCCTGCCCCGACTTCCAGCGGAGGGCTTGGCAGTGTGGACTGGAGAGGCAGATCCCTGGCTTACATCCCAGCGCCCCCGCCTCAGTTTCCTCATCTGTTAAATGTAGACACGTACCCCCTCTGTGAGGGCAAACGTTGCCAGGTGCGTGGTAGGTGCCAGCGCGGAGTTTCTGGCCATGTCTGTGTCTTATCTCCTCTCCCCAGGAGGCCAGGGCGCTGGCGGCTCAGTTGTAAAGATGTGGGAATTGAGGCCCAGAGAGTTTCCATGATTTGCCCCAAAGAACACAAAAGATGGGGACCCAGGTGGTCTGGCCCCGCGCCGGCTCTGGCCTGCCCGCTGTGCTGCTTCTCCAGGTGGCAGGGCCCGGCGGGTGACAGGTGCAACCGCGGGAAAGGCCCAGCTCTGTGTGTGGTTCTGGCCCAAAGCCCAGGACTGCAAGGGGCCGCAGGGTTGGTGGGAGGAGAACTCAATAGGGGGTCAAGCAGAGGAAATAAGACAACAGGGAATAAGAGCCGCTGCCGGTCGGTCGGCCAGATGGTCGCTGATCACGCCTTCCTCTGGACTTTGTGGCCAGGACCACACCGTTTCCTTCTGTCTGGTCTGTGGGCTGTCGGGGCTCAGCAGGGCGGTTCTGCTGGCATCTCTTGTAGTTGCTGTCAGTCACCTGGAGGCTGCACGGGGACAGCTGGGCCTCTGTCCCGCTCCCTGTCACCCAGGGGGTCTCTTCCCTGTGTGGCCTCCACAGCAGAGCAACCAGACTTCTTGTGTGGCGGCACAGGGCTCCCCAAGGTGCAAAGGTGGGAGTTGCCAGGCCCTTTTAAGGCTCACGCCTGGAATTGGCACAGCGCCACTCTGCCTCCTTTTATTGGTTAACAGATCCAAGTTCAAGGGGCCTGGAAATAAAGGGCATGTCAGTGGGGTACTGACCACGAACTTAAGCTACAATCTATTCCCCTCTGTGTTCGCCAGCACGCTGTCATTTATTCCTTCCACCAGTCCTATCTGGTGGGCAGTCTTATTACCCCCATTTCACAGATGGGGGAACTGAAGCATGGAGCAGTTCAGTAACTGTTCCCAAGGCATGTACAGCTAGTGAGCAGTGGAGTTGGGATTCGAACCCAGGAGGTCTGGCCCCTTCCCTCAGCCCAGAGACTCTGGGGAGGTCTGTGGCAGGCCTTGGTGGAGAGGGGTAGGGCCCCCCATCCCTACCCCACAGGGCCTGTCAGCCTGCTGACAACACCTTCTTTTTCTCAAGCAGCCAAGATGCCCCAAACTCGGGTGACCGTTCGAACGGTGCGAGTCCGCAGGCCCCCCAAGGGGAAGCACAGGAAGTTCAAGCACACGCATGACAAGAAGGCGCTGAAGGAGACCCTGGGAGCCTAGGGCGTCTGCAGGAGAGCGCGGGCAGGTGAGGACAGGCGGGGAGACGGGGGCCCAGACCTTGCGGCCTGGGCTTGGGCTGGGGGAGGGGTGAGGAGGGGCGTTTTCCCATACACCATGTGGGCCCGAAGCTTGGGTCCCCTCTGCCCAGTTATCAACGGAGTTTTTCCAGGGGGCAGGTGGGCGGGAGGCTTGGAGACCCCAGCCCAGCTCTGTCCGCAGAGAATGGACCCCCTATCCCTCAGCTGTCCAGCCCCAGCGCTGCTGGAGATCAGGGACGACCAATGGACCCCAGCTCCCTGCCCCCAGCAGGGGGGCCTGTGCCCGGGGCATGTCTCTGAGCCCCGTGTCCCTCTGCTTGGCTTACAGGGTTATTTAATAAGGTATTTGCTGTATCGCCCCCATGGGGTCCTTGGAGTGATAATATTGTTCCCCTCGTCCGTCTGTCTCGATGCCTGATTCGGACGGCCAATGGTGCTTCCCCCGCCCCTCCACGCGTCCGTCCGGCCACCCCTCTGCCAGCGGGTCTCCCCTCAGCGGCCTCCAGCGTCTTGCCCGGAAGCTTGAGAAGGAAATGAAGGATCTGGACTCCATCGAGGTCTTCCCTCCCTCCCGACCCCGAGGACCTGGGATAAGAGCACAAGAGAGACTGAGGGGGGAGGGGCCCCCTGGCCGGGCCACCCGAGCTGCGGACTGGCTCCGAGAACCCTGCCCGCGGCCCCGAGGACCTCTCGGCGGTGGCCTGCCTGGTCCTGGCCCCTGGGCAGTCTGATGGGAACACCCCCAGGCCGGCCGGAGCGCCCCTGCTCCTGTGGCCGAGACCAGGCGGGGAGCACAGACTGGAGAAATCCCTCCCACAGAGCCCAGGCCCAGTCGCCCTCCCTGCTCACCTGTGCTCGCAGCCGCCTTCTTTCCTCTATACATACGACATCTGTGAAGATGTGGACTCCTCCGGGCAAGTGCGGCCCGAGCGCAGGCAGCCTAGAGCCATTTCGAGGGGTTAGAGATGAAGTTTGCTCAGAGGTGGGTGCAGGTGGGGACCTGGGCATCCACTGCCTCCTCCGTGCCCCCTTTGCTTCCTCCTCCGTTTCACCTCTCTACCTCCACCCTGCATCTCCCTCTGGTCCACCGAGGGGGCGCCCCTCCTGGAGGCTCCTGTGACCCGAGGGCCTGCTCCCGTCTCATCCCAGCCCACACTGCCATGCAAGGCCGCGCAGGGCGCCCTGCCCAGGCCGCACGGCCCAGCGCACCGCAGGCGGGACCACTGTCCACATCACAGGCCCGGCCCATCTGTGTGTTTATTATGCCAGCTTCGGGCAGGGGGAGGACACGTGTCTTTTCCGAATGGACACAAGGCTCCGTGTGCACTGGCTGTGCCCCTGGCCCGGCCCCTGGCTTGGATGGCCGGACAGGAGTGAGCTCATGGAGGGCCGGAGGTAAGACGTGGTCCGTCTGGCCTCCATTTCCCCACGTCCTCGCCCAAGCAGTCCGGCTCCCAGGCAGGTGTGAAAACTCAAGGGAAAGTCTCCAGTGGGGGTGGGGGCACACTCCCCCATCTTAGACCCTTTTGAGTTCCATCTCTGGTGGCTGGGCTGGGGGAGGGGAAGGGGAAAGATCCCCAGGCCCCTAGGGGTGGGTTCTGCGCTCCCTTCCCATCTTCTACTGCACTTCCCCCCCCACCCCCCCACCCCCAATCTGCTTCCTTCAGTTTGTAAAGTCGGTGATTATATTTTTGGGGGCTTTCCTTTTATTTTTTAAATGTAAAATTTATTTATATTCCGTATTTAAAGTTGTAAAAAAAATAACCACGAAAACCAAACCAAATGAATCCGCCCAGGTCTGTCTGTTGGCGCCGTGTGCGTGGTTACCCTTTCCGCGTTGGCAGAACTTGCTGACAGCTTGCTGCGTGTTCCTCTCACTCCGGGAGGCTCGGCGCACGCTCACGCTCACACACACACACACACACACACATCCCCACATGCGTGCGCACACGTGTGGGCCTGCTGCTCCGAGGGAGGCCTCTGCCTGGGGGTGGGCAAGAGCCACCCAGTCCTCCCTGTGGGTCTTGGTCCTGCAGCAGCTCCTGGCGCCTGGACCCCAGACCCGGCCTTGTGCCTCTCACCGGCAGTGACCAGAGATGCTTTCCCTGGCCCGAGGGTCCCCACTAGGGAAGCAGACGCTCACCATCACCGAGCTGGGCTGGCTGTTGGGAGGGATCCTCAGTGGGGGGCCGGCTGGAGGAAGTCCCAGAGGGGCTCTGCATTGAGAAGGAGCTCAGTAGAAAGTGGGGTGTACAGTCTGGTCGTGGCTGAGCCTGCAGCCAGCTCTGTGGCCTTGGGCAAGCACAGCCCCTCTCGGGCCCAAACCTCATCTGAAACAAGACGAAGACCAGGAGCCTTGCGACCTCTGACATCCAGCGGTGGGGTCTGCGCTTTCCCTGCGAAGACCTGGGAACATCCCATGAAACAGATTTCAAACGTGCTCTGGGTCCCATCTGCAGGCCGACGGGGGCTGAGGGGGAGCCAGGAGGTGGAGAATGTGGCTCACAGGACTGTCTAATACTGAAACCGTTTGCTGCTGGAGGTCGTGAGCTCCCTGGCCCTGGGAGTGTGGAAGTGGAGCTGGCGACAACGTGGCTGAGGTTGGCGTGAATAACACTGGGGTTCCCCAGGGCGGAGTGGTTGAGTGATCGACTCATTCCTTCATTCGCTCACCGCCTGGAGCCCCTGGCACATGTCTGCCTCTACTTGGGGCTTTTATAACCACGTGGTTTAAGCTCATCCTGGGATTCCTAGCCCTGAGCTCGAGGAAGCGGAGTCTGCCTGTGGGGTGGTGGGTGGAGCAGGTCAGAGGGGTTTGCCTGGAAACGCCTCACCCTGCCTGCCCCACCCTGTGTGCGGGATGCTCCCCTCGCCACCAAACCCCCGTGTCCTGGGCCCGGGCACCAGGGCAGGCTCTGGCTGGAGGGGGAGGGGCCAGCTTCACCAGGAGATGAAATGAGAGGGTCCAGGCCTGTGCCAGCGCAGTCCTTAGCCCTCCTTGGAAGCTTAGCATTTGCCTCCATAGATAACAAAATAGCGAGCGTTTACCGCGTATGAAGTAACGTATCTGTGAATCCTTAATCCTCGCAGCTTGGTTTAAGGAAAGGAGAAGAACATGAGCGGCGAAGTGATGGCCACAGGCTTAGAGAGATGAAGGTCACCCAGCTCCTTTCCGGCCGGATCACAACAAGGTCCCCTCTGCCGACACCGTAGCTGGTGTGTTTCCGCTCTGATTTAGGGTCAGACCAGGAGCCCAGAACCCCAACACCTGCACATAACACCTGTGGGTTATAGTCCCCATTCAGCGGCCCAGTTACTCTGTGACCCTAGGAACGTCACTGCTCCTTCTAGATCCCGGCCTGACTTCCAGGCCTGACTGGCCCCCGCCCTTACTTCTGGCCTCCAACCAAGTGTCAGACCCGGCAGGCCCCCCCTGTCCAGTCCTTCCAGAACCCCCTTGTCACCTGCTTTATTTATCTCCACAGCACTGATCCTCGTCGGCTCCTCCCACAGCTACTCTTTCCTTGTCTCCACATGGAAGCTCCACATGCAGTTATTTTGTTCATGACACTGTCCCCAGAGTCTAGCATAGTGCCTGGTACACAGTAGGTGCTCAGTAAATGCTTGTCGAATGAATGAACATAAAGGTCTGTTATTGGAGCAATCAAGTGTGTCGGTCCAAGTCACAGCTTGCCTGGCTGATCGTCGCACGCACTATGGTGTGGCTGGAAAACTGCACTCTGAGGGTGTCACTGACCACCGATGAGCGATTTCAGCTCCTCAGCTGGCTCCCTGCTTAGCACTGCAGCTTCCTGGACCGAGGGATCCTCAAGGGTGGGGTCATGTTGAATACATTTTCTAAGTCTACCAGCCATCATCTCCTTCCATGTCTATACCTCTCCCTCCTTCCACCCATCCATCTATCCATCGATCCATCCACCCATCTGCCTACTCATCCATTCACTCATCCATCCATCGATCCATCCATCCATCCATCCATCCACCCATCCACCCATCTGCCCATCCATCCATCCATCCATCCATCCATCCATCCACCCATCTGCCCATCCATCCATCCATCCATCCATCCATCCATCCATCCACCCATCCATCCATCTGCCTACCCATCTATCCACTCATTCATCTGTCCATCCATCCATCCATCCATCCACCCATCTGCCCATCCATCCATCCATCCATCCACCCATCCATCCATCTGCCTACTCATCTATCCACTCATTCATCTGTCCATCCATCCATCCACTCATTCATCTGTCCATCCATCCATCCATCCATCCATCCATCCATCCATCCATCCGTCCATCCACCCATCCAGCCATTTACCCACCCACCCATCCCCCTCCTTCATTTCCTCTCTATCACTGTCACCATGTCCCAAGCTCTGTACTTGCCACCTTGTTTTATTACCTTCTAAGGAGCTTGGTGCCCCAGTAGAGAGAACACAGGTTTAGCAACAGCACATGATGAGGCCCTCATGCCAGCATTGCTAGCTCCCACTGCACGGCCTGGCAGAACTGTTGCGTAGGTTAGAGACATGAGCCCAAGCATGGCTCCTGGTGCGTACTGTGCCCGCAGTCCACGGTAGGGTTATTTTTTAACTCTCACCCAGCAAATGGCTGATCACAGTGAAGTGAAGATGGAAAGAATGACCACGAAATCACAGAGGGATTAAAAGTTCAGCTGCAGCCAACACATGCATTTGTATTCCAGGCACCGTCCCATTATTCTACTCAATTAACCCGGCAGTCCTTTCAGGCGATGCCATTGTCCCGTGTTACAGACGAGGAAGCAGGGACTCGGGAGGTCCAAGCCCCTCCCCCCTCCCCAGGGCACAGGGGTCTCCTGTAAGCGGCACGGCCCCTGGGGGTCACATCAGGTCCTTTCCTCATTAGGGGACTCTGGGTCTGTGGACTGACTGGGGTCTGGGCCTGGGCAGGCACCAGGGTCTGCCTCTGGGGGCTCAAGCCAGACCTCTGTTTACCAGACCTTTCTGCGTGTAGAAGCCCAGAGCCTGTGGGTCACTCACCCATTTTGCCCCGGGGCCCTTGTGGCCCATTAACCCCACCCACACCTGCCGGGGCCTCTGCCCTCCCAGGGCCTTGGTTTCTCCCACACATTGAGGCCTTGGGGAGGCTGTGGGGCTCTCACAGGGGTGGGCTGGGTGCGCGGGTCCCCCATGGTTCATCTGCACGCCGTCTCTGCGTTACACTCGGCACTTCTGTCATCTCCACGTCAGCGAGCGGGGGCCACCGCTGCGTCAGGCTCAGTGCCCCGTGCCAGCCAACATACCAGCCCCGGAAACAATTAGCGCCACCCCCAGCGAGGAGGCTGGCACCGAAAGCCAGAACCGCCGGTTGGCGCGCTGTGTTAACACAGCCCACTCAGCGGAGCCATTCACACATTGCCACCAGATTTTGATGATATGAAATAGCAAAGTTCTGCCCAGATTTTGGTTTGGGTTGATATTCAATTCTGCCCCAGCTGTGGTCTGAAGGCACTGAGGAGGCAGGGGAGGGTGGGGGGGGGCATCAGACAGTGAGAAGAGGCTGCTTCTGCCCACAATGGGGGGGCGGGTGGGGGTTGGGGGTTCGGGAGGTTCAGCTTTGCCCAAACCCTCCCCTGTGACTCCATGCAAATGCTGAGCTCGCTCTTTCATACTCAGCACTCTCGCTTCCACCGGGCAGAGCGGGTGAGGCCAGGCAGCAGCCGATGGGTCGGTCGCCATTCTGCGGGCCCAAATTTTGAGTTTCACTTTTGGGTCTCTCATCGTTGTGGCTGCGAGATGGAGGCCCTGTTAGCAAGCATGGGCGCCCTCCGTCATTGAACTGGGTCTTGGGCCAAGAGCTCAGGATTTAGGAGCCTTCCTTCCCTTCCTTCCTTCCTTCCTTCCTTCCTTCCTTCCTTCCTTCCTTCCTTCCCTCCTCCTTCCTTTCTTTCTTCCATTTGGTCCAGCTCATGGGAGAGGGCTTCAGGGTGGTTAAAGAATGGGTAGTGGTTCGGGGAGAGGCTCAGACAAAAGCCAGACACGGGGGAATGCCGAGAGCCACTTAAAGGCCTCTGGGCTCCAAAGGCTCCTAGTCGTGCTTGAGGCTGAGCCTTTGGAATAGATACTCGCCCAGCCCAGCCTGGGGCCCGCAGCCTGTGGAGGTGAGTCAGGTGTCGCCCATCTTCTTGATGAGTTTCACCTCCTCACCCGGAAGTGGTTCTCCAGGAAGTCGCAGAGACGAGGTCTGCGGGTAGAACCCAGGCCTGCGGTGCCACAAGGGCCTGGTTCAGGTTCCTCTCCAAGGCCAGGGCGGCTGCCTTGGCGCCCTGAGTTTTGCCCACTCACCTTGGGGGGCTCCTGCACGTCCTGGGAGAGAATGTGGCCACCGCACAGGTTTTGCATCTTTAAGAGACTCTCTCAGAGCCCCCGGGCTTCTTCTCCGCCAACTCGAGGAAGAAGTGGCCCCGCCCTGGAGAGCCACATCATCCCCATCGAAACAGAAGCCCAGGGAGAGGTAGGTGTGGAGGCCGCAGAGGCCGGGGGCCAGGCGGTTGACCGCAGCCTCCACTCGGTGGGATAATTCTGACGAATTTGGAAGCTCATGGTTGTTGGGTAATGAGGAGTTAAGGTAGAAAAATAACGGTGTGTTGGCTGGTCTCAGAAGTGGTTCCGAAAGTGGCGACTGGAAAAGACGATGGAGGGTGGTCGGAGGCTGGAAGCAGGGGCGTCCCTGGGTCTGTTCGG